GTTTATTGATGCTCGTATCAAGAAAGTAAGAAAGATTATATTATAAGTTAAATACAAGAATTGATTTTTTGAAAAAATTGTAAAAATTGTTACTGTTAACGATATGTGTATAATCTCTATATAATAACTATTACACGATAATGTATCTGCTCAGTAATACATCAATAATGATATTTTTAGATAAAAAAGGATTTCTATATTTAAATATTTTTTTATTTATTTTCTAGATTTAGCATTAGCAGATTTGTTGTTATAATTAAAAATAAAATTGAAAATTAAATAATTTCAATCTGATATTCAATAAAATTAAATTAAACACAATTAAACATATTCGAGTAGAATAATTTTTTAAAATTGTTTTAAAACAATTAAATAGTTGATGTAAACGTTACATTGAATTTTTCAAAGTCTTGTGAATTTTTACTAGTCTTATTACTTTCTTATCGCTTTCTTGTACCTTCTTATATACATTCAGTAGCAAAAATATATATATATAAAAGATAAAGCAAATATTAAATTATAAAATATTTAAATTTTAATGTTTTATTACGCTTTATAAAAAATATATCCAATTGAAATTGTTCACAAAATATGAAAAAATGTTAAAAATTTATGCTTATTGAAAAATAAATTGCTCTAATCTTGTATTGTTTATTGTGCTCTATATACACAAAATTTTTATTAAAATAAAAGATTTTTCATAAGATAGTGTGAAAATGAATACTTTTGTATATGATTGATTATATAGATTCAAGAGGGTGCTTTGCTCGCTATGATTAATTCGTCGCGCATTTTAATATCATATTATTTGCATTTGCTTTTGGGTAATATAAAGTATGCATACTTTCATGATTGCATTCAATCTATATATCCATCTGATATCTATTCATATACATATAAGAAATACCTCGCAATTTCTTTCAGAAAATTTTTTCGGACCAATGAGTAATGCATTAACATACAATAATAACATGCATTATTATTCATTTGAAAATATCCACTTAAAATCTGTTATAAATTATCTATGTAAATGAAAGTTTTGCATAATCATTTATGGAAAAATGATTATCATTGTGATATATATTAGAACTTAGAGGAATAATGGGCATTGAAAAAAGCAATAAATTCTTGAATTTTCTTCTTATAACATTTTTTTAAATTCTGTGATATAAATTAACGAATAAAAAGATATTATGGAAGAAATTTTATAATAAATGTTGTAACATGATAAATATATTAAAATTTTATTTTTATCTATCTAAATAATATAAAGTTTAATAGAATTTTTTAATTATAATAATTTATCATATTACAAATTTTCTATTGTGTTTTTCAAACTTATCAATCTATAAATATCTTCTATTAGAATTACTATTACTTCGTTCACATATTTAGATATTCCTAATAGTTACATATTTTTAGATATGATATCTAAAGTTTCTCACAAAGCTTCTGAATATGATGAGTTTAAATTTCGTTGTAGGTATATAAATCCGTAGTTGCTGCCTGTATTTCTCATTAACCATAAAGAATAGTCATTTATTCATACGCTATCATCAAGTTAGAAGTTACACACACTCCGGTTGCAATGATACCGAGATATTAAAAAAATTAAGCATGTATTAATTCTTCACACTATAGTTATAAAATATAAATTAATTAAATAAATAATTTTACATGTGTAAAATTTATGAAATTGAAAATTTAACGTTTCCATATTTAATTTTCGTATAAACAATTGCGAGATAGTAAGTCATAAAGATTAATAAAACATGAAAATTATACTTATCAAAGACTGATTATCAATTTGTTTATTCCTTTTACAAGAAGAAATTCAATTTTCTTATATTTTATCCCATTACAACTCTTTATTGTGTTACAATTTATATATTTTATTAATAATGTATTAACATTTGTTTCCTCACAATGGATTGTAAGCACACTTAATTTATTATCGATTTATTTTTGATTTTCATTATTGCCTTTGAAAAAATGTTTTCTATTAGATATATCATAATTACTATTGTACGTACTACTTTATGAATATGTATTTACATCTACATTATATGAACGACGTAATATTTGACATTAAACAAATCATGTCACTTCTTACATGCATTACAAGATTCATATTTTTAATATTTTTCAAGTATTTTTATTATTATGTACTTCATGAATATTTAAACTTATATTGTTTTCAATATTTTTATTAATTTGTATAATCTGATTATACTGTTAAAATTAAATTTGATTCGTCATTTTAAGATTTTCTTTTTCATCGAGATATATAGTTTAAAATTTTTTAACTGCCAAGATTATTTTCTTTAAATAAAAAAGTTTAACAGAGTGAAAATACTGATGGTTCTTCGAACATCGAGGCGAAATGTTTACTTTACAATAAGTCTTTATTCATACGCGATAAATAGTTACAAGTGAACATCGAATTGTTAAATTTTATGGATCATCAAAATGAATACAATTTATTGTCAGCAATAAATAAGAAATATTACGTACGTGTATATTGAAATAGGGATTTGATCTCTTAACACGAGTGGGCGTTGTCGTCTGCATTTGGAATGAAATCATCGATCAAAGAGGTATACAAAGAGTTATTTACGGAATTCTTGTATAAAGATATGATCTTACTGTCACGAATTCTGTTTGATCGAGTCTCTAGCAAAAAAAAAATCTTCTTTTTAAGACACAATGAAAGTGATTTTAAGAACGATTTAGTGTTCACAAAATTGCAAAAGTTGAAAATTTAAGAAATTAAATCTTAATTAAAAAATAAATCTGAATGATTATAAAGTTAGTATCATTTTGAACATGTTTTCAAAAATTATTCTCCATTTAATTTATCAATTATCAAAATAAATTTAATTAAAATTAATAAAAATTATTATTACATGTAATATTATTGTATGTGTATGTATTGATGTTTGCAATCTAAATATTTATTTCCTATCAAATATCTTTCTCAATGAATAATACTCGTATGTAAATATAAAACAATAAATATGAAAATATTACAAAACAGAAGAAATGTTCATAATATCCGTTTACTTTTAATTAAAAAATGAAAAAAACTTTTACAATTAATGATACCCATATGCGAATAATCGATACATGTATAAACATGAAAATATATAAACGGAACATGATGAAAGGTCCAAAGTATCCCATTGAGAATGAAAGAAGAACACTTGCATATGAAAAGGATACGAAAAGAATAAAGTTGTACCTTTATCGACATAAGAAGTGGTACAAGGCGGAATAAGGACCGGTATAATGAGGTATACGAAGTTTCGTGTGGTCTACGAATGTTGCTAAGTAAGGGATTGATTCACGGGCAGCTATAATACCGCCAAACCAAAGCCCTAATAGATTCAGGTCAATGCCACTACCGTTCTTCGAAGTCGTTCATTATGTGAGAAGAGAAGGCCCCGTTCTCATGCCACACAGGTTGCAAGTTGCAATACCTGTGCGGCAGGCTGGACCCAGAGATTCGCAACGAACGCATAGATATATCCACGCTGTTCATTCATTTAATCGAAAAACGAAATAATCGCTTCGTTTACAGATTAATTCATGAGCTGTACATACAGATTAAAAGAGACCAATCGTTGCAGAAATGTAGAAAGATCGAAAGAGTTATGGTAACTAGTTAACTTTTTAACATTATTTTTCGAGTACAAAAATTTTGAATAAGCTGAGATGAAAATTTTTATTTTTCGAAAACTTTTTTCTTTATATGAAAAATTTTTTTTTTTTTATCTAAAGTTTGAACAGAATTTATAAAATTTACGATAAAAACATATATTTTGTTTATTAATATATAAAAATATTTTCTATTGTTGTGAATAGTGTAATGATCTTAAATAACATCTTTTGTTTTATACAAATATATTAATGATATGATACTGTTAAGTAAAATTGATACTTGATTTAATAAATATTCTAAAATAACTTGATTGTATAAAACTTTTATTATGTAGATTCTAAAATATATATACTCCGTAAGAACACTTCTTAGAAACGTTCCTAATGATAACGCATCTTTCCATAAAAATTCCACAGGAACAGATATCCTCTTAAACGAAACATATAAATTTGAGCAGTATTTTAAAAATTTTAAAAACGAAAAATATTTATTATTATTTTAATGCAATGTTATTAGCAAATTTATGCGATATTATGTAATTTTTATTAAAATGAATTGATTTATATTTTATTATATAAATTTTCTCATTTTTAAATAAATATAAATAGAATGTTTCATACTTTTCTAAATTAAAAGAGTTTGCTCTACAAGTGAAAATGAAAAAAAAAATGTCACATGAAGTTAGTCTATTAACATATTGTAACAAAGTTGTAGACAATTTGAGTATATATATATATACAGCGTTCAGACGAGATAAGTAGAAAATTTAAGGAATAATTACAAAAATTAAACAAACACAAAATATAATATATAAAATATATTCATTGAAGTTTATTTTTCAATTTATAAGCAATTTTGTACCAGATAAAGTGAAATGAAGATAAAGGAGATAATATCTTCCTCTATTGCTATCTCACTTCATCTGATGTAAAATTAAATTATTTTTAATAGAAAAATAATAGAAAAATAAACTTTAACAAATATTTTTATTTTTGTGTTTGTTTTCTAAATCTATTCTTTAAATATTTTACCTGGACATTCTCTATATAACAGCAATTCAAAATTAAAGAATATAAAAAATCTTCTTTCAATTCCAATTTTAAAATATCGTATCATTATCCTCTTTTACCTTTCTTTCAGTCGATTTTCACATCATTTTTAAATCATTTTTCCAATCTTACTATTACATACATATATACAATATAACTAAATAAAAAATTGAACCATAAACTAGAGAGAGAGAGACAGAGAGAGAGAGAGAAAATGTATCAAAAATATTTATCGTATCACATTATTCGAAAACTTTTCATCGACTATCATAAAATAAAATATTAGAATAATATAAACGAAAACAAGCCATTTAAGACTACTTTAACGAGGCGAGATACCTCTTTCCACAAGATATCGAAACAAAAGCAGAAACACCCGAGACAAGCACGACACTTACATTATCCTTCCTTCCACTCTTATCATCCGTTACCTGCTTTACTTCCAATAAGTATATTCTCGCGTTCGCTTAAAAAAGAAAAGAAAAAAAGAAAAAAGAAAAAAGAAAAAAAGAAAAAGAAAAAAGAAACGCGATATATTTCAATAATCTAATGCGCCGGGTGGAAATTCTTATCTCGGAGCGAAAAAAGACCAAGGTGAGTTGATCCGAAGGGAAATGCGAAATAATATTGGACTGGAAAGAAGATTGAAAGGAGAAAGAAAGTGAGCTCGAGAGACAGAAGAGCAGCGGGCAAAGCGAGAGACAAAGCGAGGAGGAGGAAAAAGAAGGGAGGAAGAGAAAGACACGTGTACACGCGCGCACACACTCGCGCGGGCACGGACAAAGATAGAGCGAGCGAGAGAGAGAGAGAGGGACGGAAAGGCTTGTATTCGCCACTGGCAGGACCCTTTCCAAAGTTAATGATTCGATCATTGCGATGGGTGGTAGCAGGGTGGTGGGAACGAATGGCGTGGGTCGAAGTAGTAGGAGAAGTGCCAGAGAAGTACAGGAGAGGATCGGTCCGCGCAAGAAAGTAAGCCCGATCTCAGTTCGAACGGTTCGCCGAGATCGGTTCGCTACGTCTTCTTCGGTTTTACCGGTTCGGTGCGCGGCTCGACGTCCTTCCGCTTAATTTATCAGCTAACGAACGAGGCGACGTCCTTTTAAAAGAGGGATAATGCCGAAGCACAGAATCTGCACGATGCCTCGTCTCACGTACAGAAATCGTTTGACACCCCTGATGCCCGTGGCTGGTCACTCGAGTCCCGGTGTGAAGTTGTCCGTTGAGTTTAGGTTACCGACTATTCTCAAACGTACGTATTGTCGAATTGCTAATAGACCTCGTATCCGTTATCGTCTTATCGTCTTTTCGCTCTAAGGTTATTGTACGAGTTGGGCACGAATAACGTTAGAAACCGTGATAGATGTATTTTGAAAAAAATTTTTTTTTTTGAAGGGCTCGGTGTAAAATAGGGAGATGACAGATTTTTATAAGTTTGGAGGGAAGTTGAGAAAATGTTATGTTTAGGGGAAATGTGGAATCATATTTGTTTTAGGTAATTTTTATTATACAAAAAAAAAAAAATCGAATTGATATATTTATTTTCATCTAGATTTTTGGATTATATAATTAAGAAATAAATGAATTTGAAAATTTTGATGAAGATTGTTATTTCAAGATCACGATTAATTGAAATAATATCAATTTTAGTTTTTGACAAGTTTACGTATATATATATGAAGAAAATAATTAAGATATATTTATTTATTCAATTTTTGTTCGATACAATTGTTGAAATTTTTATCGAAAAAAAAAAAGATATAAGCATAATTTTATTTATATAGAAGAAATCGTTTCAAATATGTTCGATTATATATAAAAATATTGAGAGAAATATAACAAGATCTGTATGATATAAATATGGCATTGTTAGTAGTTCTATATTATTTATGTCAATTAATCTAGAAAAAAGAATCAAAATTTCATTTCATTTAAATCCCTATTATTATTATTTAAAATTTAAAAATTATGCAAAACTTCTAACTTTTGAAAAAATTGATGAAATATATTTTGCAAAATATTTTATGAATAATTTCATTTTATAATTAAATATATTTATTATTAAACAGAAAAAAAAACATGGATATAAAAATGTGAAAGTTCTTTTATATAAATGCATCGTTCTTTCAATTAAATGTTAATGAAATATTTAATTTTACGAAACTTTAGTATTTAGATCTGTTCATTTTTTTATGATTAATCTTATGTAATTTCACTATATATGTTGAAAAAAAATTGTTAATGACGAATCTCATTATCATTTCTTTATATATAAAACATTATAATTTTTTAAATATAAATTCTTTAAAATATTACGTTATAAAAATATCATAAACAGTTACGTAAAGTATTCCAGAAATACCGAAAATATACTTAAATTTTTTATTATTTGACATCATGAAGTACAGTGAAGTTATATCACAATAATTGAACCGGTTTTTTTAAACTACTTCTTACCAATTTTTTTTTAGCTAATTTAAATGATTGAATATCCTTATGTTTCGCAAATGAACTCGAAGATATAAAGAATTTTTTGTTAATTTTTCCTGAAATCAATCACTATATATAAATAATTTATCTTATAATATATTTATACAATATTAACAGAAGACAAAAAAGAATAATTTTGGCATAATTATTCGAAATAAAATTATTGTATATTTTTTTGATATACAAATATAAATTATTTGTTTTCTTTTTCTATTATATAAGATAACATTTGTAATAGGATTGATAATAGATAATAAATTTTTTAAAGTATATTCATATTAAAATATAAATCCATAAATATTTATGGATGTAAATTATATAAATTACACAAACAATCCCTAAAATAAGAATAATTTATAAATGAAAAATATAATTAAATGAAAAAAATTCTTAATTGCAAAAAATTGCAATTGTGATAGTATAACGAATGTATACATACCGTACATGCCACAATGTGTATTTCGATTTAAGCAACTTGGATTTCACCATTAATTACTGTACATAATCGCTTGTATTCGTTAATGCTACACATACCAGTTTATACAAGTATTAGTAAGTACTTTATACATATTAATCACGCATGTCGTTGGACGTCTTGTTACCAAGTATGTACATACGTGATCAGAATTTCATCAATATGATTTATAATTTATATCGTTGATTATAAAATGTTTATTTAAATTATTGCATATCTATACATTAAAATGTAAATATTTTGATGTACAATCATTTATATCATTTTTTTCATTAATTTTACATTTACCATTTGAAAAATTATTTTATGAACACTATTTGATATTATATTATAAATATTTTATTATATTTTTTAATAATTTTTTAATACAAAGCTTTTTTATAAAATTTTAATCTTATTATTTATAAATCTTATAATTTTATGCTTACGTAATGCTTTGTTTGTATTTACTCACATATATCAAAAGCTTTAGAAATAATCATATTTTTGCATGAAATAAAAAATCTTTTATAAATATTACAAAACTAATTGCTTAAATAATAAACATTTATTGATATTGACTATTGATTAGACAAGGAAAATTGACAAATAGAATGTTTAAAATTTGTTTAAAAAGCGACAATAAAAATATATTGGTTGTCTTGATGAATCAAAAATTTAATTTTATCTTACATTTAAAATTAAAAATTTTGTTTCAATCTTTGTTTTAAAATATATTATTTTGTTATTCAACTTTTATTGTAATAAAGAAGTTTAATACTTAACTTTTGATGATATTATTTGGTATTCCTCATTGCTTTCAAACTTTTGGACAGTAGTGTATGCTATATACATTTACCAAGTATTCGTATCAGTATCAACCTTTCGCATGAAAGCAAATGCATGTAATTTAATCCATGTAAGCTCATTGCATTTTGTTTCATTGGAATTTCAATTTATTTCAGTCACAATGTTATTTAATATTGTTGTCAATTTTTTGCAGAATGGTGGCTTTGGTGGTTGCTTGTACCAGGATGTTTTGCATCTTGGACCAAATACATCGAGGAGTACGATTCTATCAATATTGCCAGATGTGATATCCATTGTGGTGGTAATTACCCTGATAAAGTAAGTGTTATTAATTATTTAATTTAATTTATAGTTTATCGTGCAAATAAATCGAAATTATACAGAAAGATTGAAGAATGTGTAGATTTATTTTCTATTATTATGATAAATATTTCGAGAAAGTGATTTTCACGATAAATTTACATAACAAATTGGGACAAAAGTAAACAAAAGTAATTTTCAGGATAATTTTACTTTTCGAAGCACATTTAATGTATGAATAGATTGTAACAACCTCGTTACAAATGAAGAAAATTGAAAACGAAATAGAAATTTGAAAATTTATGAGTACTAAGATATGCTCTAATTTCTAATTTTATAGTTAACCATTAATTTGATTTTTAGACTAGATTATCTAATACAATAAATAGAGCGTTGTATAACCGTGAATTAATTCAAACGTTTAAAACTCACTTGCCATTGTATTTCAAATGTCTAGAATTTTATCTAAATAATCATACATTGTATGTAAAAATCAAAGACACTCGCTTTATGACATGTACTAACAATAGATATTTACTTAGATTAAATACTTCATTTGATGAATATTTTAATGGTGACATGAAATTGAAGTTTTTGAACAATCCGAAAGTTTTTCAGTTTCTTTTACATTAAGATTCGTAAGAAATTATTTAATATATTTCTATGTTTTATATATATATTTTCTGATAAATTATTAAAAAATAAAAAATATTAATCAAAGTATAAAATAAAATGTTTACTGGATATTATGAAATTTCAATAATAAATTATTATTATATTTATTTGATGTTTCATAATAGAGAAATTTAATCTTTTCAGCATTTTTTAAAAATTAATTCTTTTTAATTTTTGAAAAATTATGTAATTGTTTGTCAAGTTTGTCAATTGGGCTGTCATAAGCTAACATATTTATTCTACACTTTACATCACAATTTTAAGAGCTAGAATTATAAGCAAATATTAATAATGAGTATTTTCTTCTGTACAGTTTTTCTTATCTAGGTTAAAATGTATTAAACATTTTTTCATTTTCTAAAATATGTCGAAATATTTATCCATGTCAAATTATGATTATTCTATTGATTTCCAAGATTTAAAAAATTCTAGAAATGGAAATTTGTTAAATTTTTCACAAAACAGATAGATATTTAAATATTTATTACAAAAAAAGAAAAAGACAAAAATATATATTTTCGAGTTCTAAGAGTTTCGAAATCTCTGAAAATTTCAATTTCTATGAATTTTCAATCAATCCCTGAAAACAAACTAATACAAAATTGAAAAATCACTGAATTGTAAATCAATATATGTTTTTAACCTTTGAACAAATCTGTTACAAATCATAGAATCATGAAAAATATTTATCTTTATTCGAAAATTAATTGGATATGAATAATTTATAAATGATAGTATCACAGTTTATATAATTTTATTAATTGTTGGCAAGCATCGTCAATTCATTATATTGCTAGAGCTTGATATATTTTTTTCCAATAAAAATAATATTTTATATAAAGTTTTTTTTCAAAAAAAAGAAAAAACCTGAAAAGTTAATATTAAACAGTATAATTAAACGTATTATTTGGAGTACGTGTATGTACATGTATGTGTGTATATATGTATATTACTATTAAATATGTATATAATTATGAATGTATCGTTTTGTTTTATGTATGTGTGTATATACATGTATTGTATTTGTACCGTTGTATTGTGATATATTACTTTGTTTTAGTGTATGGAAAATTGCTTGGAATCCAATTATACAAAACCTGGTTACTGTCCTGATAAAGCATCCATGACACCCTTCGAAGCTGTTTGTTTAATAGCTTGCGTAGATGACTCTCGTTGTCCAGATTTAACAAAATGTTGCAGGCATGATTGCGGTGTCACGTGTATGCATCCCATCGGTTTGAACAATGTAACTGGTATGCATTGGATTTTGTTACTTGTCATTGTCACTGTCGATAAGATACAACAATTTATTTTTTATGTTTCCTTGTATTAAATATAATATAGGTTAATTCTTACATTGATTTCGCACACATTACGAATAAATCTTTGGATTGATTAAATTACTTACTTTTTGATTTAGACACAAACAAATTTGATAAACAAGGAAAATGCTTCAGATCAATTTTTCGAAATGATTTTAGAAAAGTGTACATTAAAATGTTATAACGTTATTATCAATACAATTACACATGTAATCACACATTGTAAGTACTTATTTTTGTATGAAACATATTTTGAACTTTGCGTTTCTAAAGATCTTTTAATTTTTGTATTTCGTGATGATCTGATTATTTATTTGTTTACAAATTTATTAAATTATATACATAAAAGATAAATGTACGTACACATACATCATGAAGTATTTATTGCAATTTCAAAATTTTCAAGATTGCAAATTTTTTTTGCAAGATTCACAATCATTTAATTAACTCTTATTTAAAAATGGTTTATTGGTAAAAATTTTGCAATGGTAATCCATCTATTTTAATAATAGATAAAATTTATACAATATTAATAATATAAATAGATTGGTAGATTTGTACATGTAAGATACGAGTAAGATATAAATGAAGTTTAAAATAGTGATGAGCAAATCGCGGCTCAACTACTTAAGTAAGGGCTATCGAAACGTTGCATTTCATTTATCTGAATTGAGATGCATATGACAAAAAATTTTAGCCACAGGCATGATATATTATCAATATGAAGCATGCATTAAAGTGAACACTTGAAAAATATTCACCCACGATGATTAATAATTCCCAGGATTGTCAAGATACGTTTCCTTGTAAATAATATGTTGAGAATAGCAAATTCTTTATAAATTCTATTTCAAAATAAATTATTAATTAATTAATGTACTTAAATATTTAATATAGAATATTAAATTTTTATTTTTGTTATTTATATTTAATACAATACTATTTTAATCTTAAAAATAATTCTTAAAGATGAAAATGAAGAATATATTGTTCGTGTAAAATATATTAAAAATTTTGAACAATCCTAATCTTCTACTGTTACAACTAATAAATTATTATTAATAAGATCAAATTCTCATCTTTTGCATATTTTTGTATTTTTTTCAGATTTACCTCTAATTCCTGAAAATATACAAATCAGACAACAGAAAAACAATTTAATTCTATTGTCTTGGCAAAATTCGAATACCCAACGAACGAATGATTCCGTCGAGAACGAAGATGTAAGATATTTAGTGGAAGAACGACATTTACTTGGGCCCAGGTATATAGAATCTAGATTAAGTTCTTGGATGGTTCGTCAGATATCGACGAAATCGCACGTAACGATACGAGAACGATTAAAAACGGGACACTGGTATCAATTTCGCGTAGCAGTTATTAATGGGAATGGTTCTCGAGGATATTCTCAACCATCCAGACCGTTCAAAACGAGAGGTAAACAAGAATATTATTCACTATAACACTAAATCTAACTATCTGTAATCAAACTAAATCAAAAATTTTAACTATTGGCTGATGAAATTAAATTAAAGTCATTTCGTGAAATGATTATTTCCATGGAAATAGATTGTTTTGATTAATTTTCATTTCAAAAAATAATTAATAATTTATCTTACCACTGTCGCGTTATTTTTATTTGTCTTTACATTACGTTAAAAATTAAATTCCATCAACAACAATTACAACTTTAATAAGTATTAACTCGTCTAGAATCTTCTAAAAGTGTCTGACGATTTATATTTTATATATATCGATCGTTAGTCGTGTAATTAAAAATTCGTAAGTTTCTTTTTAATCATATTTATGCGTATGACTTAATACTCGTTTAAAATTTTATTTATTTGTTGTTACCTTTTTTTTTCTTTGATATAAAAATGAAAGATACATTTATATAAAAAAATTATTGAAAATTCGCGTTTTACTTTCAGAACCACGGAATCCAAAAGAGCCACAAAATTTAACTTTATCCAACGCACGATTGATAGATGGAAAATTACGTATAACCCTGAGATGGATTAAACCAGCTTCAGATGTGCCAATTACGTTTTACAAAGTGTTCTGGAGCCGTCTCGTCCATGGCCCCACTAATGATTCTATTCTTGTTTATCACAAAACAATTCTCAAAGTAAGTTTTACACGTCTTTCCATATTTTCTATGTAATTAATATTACTAATATCCTTTAATTATTAACAATCCATTTTAAATTTAAATTTTAAAAATTAAATTTAATCATTTCATTAAGTAGACACGTACTAATAATTAATAATTTAAACACGTTTGAATATTATGAAAAATCACAACTTCATTTATCGATATCTCATTTTTGCAACTTTAGATTAATTATAGATGTGTTAAAAATGCTGTCTTTCTGTGTAGAATGCGCATATATGTTGCATCAATTTCTTGTTGAAATATCTTTCGAACATAGAGAAAATTTGAAAAGAAAAATGATTCTCATCTTGTCGAATTTCAGGACAAAACTTGCTACGAGCTGAAAGATTTGGAGGTGAGGTGTCAGTATTTCCTCCAGGTACAAGCTGTCGCGCTGTACGGTGGCCGCCGATTAGTTTCGCGAAAGGCTTCGAAAGTTTTCAATAGCACCGATTATATGATATACGGTAAGATAAAATTCCAGCCTGATCTTCTTCCATCTGCTACTGGTATTTCTGTCGAGCCTAATAATTGGGATAACAAACGAAGAAGTGCCCTTTCATTGAAGCCGATATGGGGAGACGATCTCGCAGATGCGAGCGATACCATGGCGATCTCCATCTACGGCGAATGACTTGTCACTGCGGAGAGGTCAAGGCACGTTTAGTTGGCCGATGAACCACGATGTAAAGGCCTACAACGTCTCCTGGAGGGAGGCATCCTGCTCGACACCGCAGGAAAAACTCGTATCCCATCGAAAGAAGTCTTGGTGGAAAGTTGTTCAGGTACTATGTCTATACTAATGAAATCTGTCGAAACTTGATTTTTTCTTTTTTTTTTTTTACTTTTCTCTTGTAAAATAAGAATTAGCTTAGCCTCTTTTCATCTCTGAAATTCTTTTTCAAAGTTTATCATTAAATCGATTATTACATCATATGTAAAAGAGAGTACATATTTAAGAAGAGAAATGCATTACGAAAAATAAGTTTATCGTATAAGTTTTAACATCGTTTCAAGATATGTTTCATAAACATTATTAAATAATTGTCTTTGGATAATCAGTCATTTGGATGACCAAACCTTGAATAATCGATAACAGGAGTTTTGCCTTGCAAAAGATTGGAATTTTATATTTTATTTTTCGTAACTAACAATATCGATTTTATATTGATTAATATAAGATCAGTGAAATATGAATTAATTAAAATAATACTAAGATTATGAAATTCGTTTAAATTATTAGCAGTTAATGTAATTTTGAATTTCGAGAAGCAGATACACTTTTATCCCTTACAGACATCGCACCTTGAAATAAAACATCTTCAAAGTGAATGCACGTACAACGTGAACGTACGAAACATATTCAACGAGATAAGTAGTAAGGACGAAAATGGTGTCAGTATAGAATTTTTCACTACCGGTTGTTTGGGCGAGTCGGAAGAAGACAAGGATAACAATTTTTCACACGGTAGAACGACACAATGTAAAACTAATAATAAATTGTCAAAAAGGAAACGACATTATGCTACTTATTTCTGATTGATAAATTTAGATTATGTCGTAAAGTATATGATTGCCATCTTACACGTTCAAATGTACGAATGAAAAGTTAGTTTTAATACTTAAAGCCATATATTCGTATCGCTAATTCATCATGATAAACAAGATTTTTATTCTATAATATATCATCGTTGATAATAAATTAACTATATTATGATTGATATTTTTGAATGTGATCAATTGTTTTTTTTTTTGTTACATTTGTTACTATATATAAAACAATGTTCATTTGGAAAAATACATAGATATAAAATAATTCTATTAAAAAAAATTACAAGTGAATTAGAAATGATAAAATTTATATAACATTCCTTGTAATTATATTCAAAATTTTTAATTTTTGATATAGATTGATATTATTTTCTCTAAAATATTCAGAATTTTTAATATGTTAGCTCAATAAATTATTTTTCCAAATAAAACATTATATGATAGTTGATACTATATTCAATATTCTCTTTCTCTCTTATATGCTATATATACTGTTACAATATCTTAATAATCTTGTGATTTTATTATGATAAAGAGTTAGATTTCTAAGATTATATCCTTTAAATAATAGATAAAAAAATTACATTACACGTAAACATATATTGTATTTTTATATTCCATATATCATAATCATTTTTTAGCGAATATACATGTATATTTTAATTAATTATATATGTAATGAGTTCTTATCTTTTGGAGTATTTACATTTCAAAAAAAAAAAAAAAAAAAAAAAAAGAAGAAGATATTCATTGTGATATTATAAGTTTATATCAATTGATATGAAAATATAATTTAATGCTGTAAAATATAGAATGTTTATTTTTGTTCCCCTTTTTTTTATAATTATAATTTAATTCGATGAAAATGATATATGCATATATTTCAATCATCTCTACTTTTTATAAAATGTTTTGTACTAAAATAATTTTATTTATTTAAAAGAAAAAATTATAATTAAAATAAATATATCATGTTATAATTGAATAAAAATATTATAATATGAGAAACTTTTAATCATAAGTATCACATATACTATTGATTAGTATTACAAGATTAGTATTATAATAATTTAATTTAATCTTGTCCTGCTTTCAAAAATAATAAACATACCGAATATGCTTGATTTAGAATCTGAAAAAAAAAAATAGCTATATTATTAATATTAATAATCGAAATAATTTTCTGTGCAATATACATGATGTTAATATATTCACTTTTTCGTGGAATATTTTAATCGATTCAAAAACAAACGCAAAAGTTGAGTTACAAAAATGAGATTTATTTATTAAGTTATAAGCAAGTGAAATTTTCGTTATACGAGACAGAAATAGAATAAAACAGCTCTATCTCCGACATACCATTGCATTACATCGTTTTGTTTCTTTGTCTCGCTTTATATAACACAAAACTTGAATTGCTTATAATATAATAAATAAGACTGATATTTTTGAATACCAATTTTTGTATTTATTTTAGTTTCTAGAATCGAGGTTATCTATAAAGTTATATCTCACGAATATATTAACATTCTATATTTATCTACATACCAAACAACTTTTACAACGATATTTTTATATACTCAATTTCTCATTAGATATTCTACCTTCACAAATATCCTGTATAATATTTCTTTTTTTTTTTTTTTTAATTTTCACACATTTTTGTTTATCTTGTAGGATATTAATTAATTTACTTAATTATCATAATCATAAGATGAAAACTTACCGACATAAAAGATGGTAACGTTAAATCAATATTTTGAAAATTAGATATTTTACATTTTAATTCGTTAGCCAAGCTTATCATAAGAATTACACGTTGAAAGCGTACGTCGTGAAAATACCACTTTTCGTATACCACATCATCTGCTATAGACGAGCTCTAATAATTTGAAAGAATTATATTTTATTATTAAGAAAAATAATATTGTATTATTATTATTATTATTATTATTATTATTGTATAAATTAAATTAAATTACTTTTTTTGATATGTAATCATGTTTTTGCAAATAATTGAATAAATCATACCGCTTCAAATAAACGTTGAATACAATAACATAATATATAAAATTGTATTAATGCACCGAGTGTATACGATACAAGTAAACATTTTTCAAAATACTTGGCCGTAGTCTGAAAAAATTATTAGCTTTTCTCTTTATGAAATAAATGATAGACGAACGATAAAAAGAAATATGATTCTGCATTAAAATATTGGAATATAAAATGTACCATTGCAAACATAAAACTGAGAAAGCAGAACCGGAAAACGTAGCTTAAGTAAAGAAATCCAATATTGGGAGAAATCAATTTTTTCAATATAATAGTCGTCCTATAATAATTATAAGTTTCTTTTTATTTAAATTATATTATTAAAATGTTGTTGAAATATTTGTTATGATAAACGAAAAAAATATTAAAATACACGGATATTTAAATATTTTATATATAACTAAAAACTTTTGATTAATCATCGATACAAAATAAAAATTAAAAATTAATCATGTGAAAATATTGAAAAAAAAATAATAATATTGCTCATATTATGAAATTTAAATAAAATTAAAATTAAACATTAATAAGATTTACCAATTAATTAAACTTATATGAATACTTACTCGATTACAGTTTCAAAATGGCGGGTTAACAACTTCATTTCCTGTCTGATCGTTTCAACATTTTCGTTTTGCCAAATAATATCTTTGTAAAGATCCTTCGTTATTTCACGTTTCTCTTTAAGTATGATCGCAAATTTGATTTTAAGGTATTTGTATTGTGCCGTTATTAAAAGACACAAGTATATGGTATAGATATCCAGACTAATTTTCCTCATTATCATATCTTCACCGCCAAGCAATTGAAGAAGAACGCCACAAATAAAAATATCGTTCGAGAAAGGTTGTTTGGAGAAAACGGCTGGCATTATAAAATCCTCGTAATAAAACTCATTCTTTTGAACAATTTGATCAACGGCGATAATATCCATATCATAAGCGAAGCAACACTGGCAATTATATAAATTTTTAAAGGCATCTCTAACGGTTTCACCGTGTCGATTATCACGCTTCGAAATATTTCGTCCTCTGTGATCAGAAGATGATTCAATTTTCCAATTAATTTATGCAACAATTTTTTACGACTATGTAAATATATGTTGAAGACGATCACTTCAAACGAGATGGCTATGTTCACCGTACCATCCTTCAACGCTTTTTCCCCCGACACGTTGAAAAGTCCGAGAAAACAGGCAGTCACGTATATCACTTCTATTATCCAAGCGATGACGAAATAGATTTTCAAAACTATGGATAATTTCTCACTTATATTGTTCATCGGTAAAAAGTTTCCCGAAATCATGTTTACGAGGACGTTCAAACGATTCAAATTTTGAAAATTCATCTCTCTTCTTTGCTTAATCTTCTTGTAATTTTTATGTGACAGAAAAAATAATAATTTTGATCGGTAAAAAGTTTCCCGAAATCATGTTTACGAGGACGTTCAAACGATTCAAATTTTGAAAATTCATCTCTCTTCTTTGCTTAATCTTCTTGTAATTTTTATGTGACAGAAAAAATAATAATTTTGATGAACGAAAGGAGGAAAAGTCTGGAAGAAAAATTTTTATGTATCTTTCTGTTCAAATTTGACTCGTGAAGAAATCTTGAAGTTCGAATTTAAAAATTTATTATACGATAAATTTAGTGGCACTGAAAATGATATAAGAGCACTTTTCTTTTTTAATATCGTATTGTAGCTTACGAATATTGTGTCAATTCGAGATGTTGCTTGTCACTGCATTCTTCATCTGTTTATTCTTTTTCTTATTTTTACCAGCATTGCTGTATACAGATTATATCTAATATCGTGCAATTTAAAATTCTTTCAGTATATAATTATCGATCGTATAATTACAACTAATTATCTTTCCCTTTAATCGTATTTATTGTGGGAGAAAGAATTTGTATATACAATCTATATACAATGTATAATTTACATCAATTATCATCAAATTGCTTAAAATGTCTCATAGTTTCTTCTTCTTCTTTTCTTGTTTTATTTTTTTTGATGTAGAAATTGAATTTGATAAATTTATAAAGAAATTAATCACTTAAAATGAAAGAGAGTTGAAGTTTCTTTCCACCTTTGTCATTATATTATTGATTGAAGTGATAGTTTGTTCTTCTATAAGCATGGGATTAAGAAAATTACAAAACTTGATGTTATCTGTTTGTAGATGGAAAATACGTCTTTCTTAAGTGAATTAAACCAATTATATTTTATAAAGTGTTCTAGAGTTGTCTTATTCAGCTAAATTAATGTTTCTATTCTCGTTTCATCATAAAACAGTTCTATAAGTTGTATATATTTTTATGTGTACATAAAATAGTATCACTAATGTTGCTGTTGATTGGAATCCAATTGTCAGGAAACATTGTATAATATATTATTTAATATACAATATTTGTTTTCAAATATAATAACAATATATCTCTGCTTTCGTGCATTTTCCAGGGACATCTTGTCGCAGAAAAAGAAATGGGAAACGAAAGATAAAAAGATAAATTTTAATAAATTTCTTTTGCTATTTGTTTCACAAGTTATAAAGGTAAGCATCACTATTATATAATTTGATTCGTTAAAAATTATCACATAATTCTTTGTTTATTGTTGATTTTGTTTCAAACATTTCCACATTACTATACATAGACATGTCTCATATCTTTATAAAGTATTTTAACATTCTCTTGTTCATAGTTTGATTATTGATTTTATTCTTGTTATCATAAAATTATTCTTAAAGTAATTTTTAAATGTATATAAATAATATTATTAATTCATTATTTATTCACTTTAAATTAAATTTTTCTCAAATTAATATTCTTTTAATTAAATATCATCTCAATGTTTCATTTAAATACAAATTATAGAATTAAATATATATATTAGAAATATTAGAAACATACACAATTCGTTTACTTGCTATTTTTGCATTTTTAAATTATATTGGAAATGGTTTCTATCTATTCTAATTCGTTTTATATAACATATGTATCGACTGTTATTACAATAATTTAATTTAACTCTGTCTTGCTTTCAAAAATAACAAACATACCGAATATGCTTGATTTAAAATCTGAAAAAATAATATTGATATTTATAGTCAAAATTAATAAATTATTTATACGCAGAAAGTTTTTCAAAATGAATCGATTAAACTTTATATTATTGCATGAATAGAAATAAGAAAAAATTTATACGAGAATCTCGAAAATCGAAATACATTTTTTTTTGCACATTCATAAATATTTTTTTACAAAAAAATTTATATTTTAATATAATAATCACTCACAAGATAAAAACTCACCGACATAAATGACGGTAATGTTAAGTCGATATTTCGAAAACTAGATAATTTGCATTTTAATTTGTTAGCCAAGGTTATCATAAGAATTATATGTTGAAACTTCACGTCATGAAAATACCATTTTTCGTGTATTATATCGTCTGCTACAGTTGTACTCTAACGATTTGAAAGATATTATATTATTTAAATTCTTAAACATAACTAATTAGTTTTTTTTTTTTACGTCATTTATGTATCGCAAACAAAAATAATAATGCATTATTGTGTAAATTAAATTGTAATTTTTTCGTGAATTATTGAAGAAAATCATACCGCTTCAAGTAATTGCTGAATGCAATAACACAATATATAAAATTGTATTAATGCACCGATCGTATACGATACAAGTAAACATTTTTCAAAATACATGGTTGAACTCTGAAACAAATAAATAGCTTTTTCTTTATAAAAGAATAAACAAACGGATAAGGAGACGTGATTCTGCATTAAAGAATTGAAGATGTACCGTTGCGAGCATAAAACTCAGAAAGCAGAATCGAAAAACGTAGTTTATGTAAAGAATTCCAATATTTGGAGAAAGTAATTTCTTCAACATGACGGTTATTCTATAATAATAATGATAATAAATTTTTATTATAAAATTATATAATTAAATTATATAATTTAGAAATTATATATTGGCAATATATAATTATTATTGTATACGTTCAATAATAGCAAAATTTTATCAAAAATTTAGAATTTTTATAAAGTATCTTTTAAATTGTTATATTTTTAAATAATACGTATTCAGACTATATTATATGATATGAAATTTAATTACACAATGAATTACTGCTTAAGAAGAATTAAAAAAAAAAATAACATTATTAATATATAAATTAATAATTCGAAAGATTCAATATTAATCATATTTGCACTTACTCGACTACAATTTCAAAATGGCGGGTTAACAACTTCATTTCCCGTTTGACCATTTTATCATTCTCGTAAGAGAAATTATTTTGCCAAATAATATCGTAGAAATCTTTCGATGTTCCCCGCTCGAGTATCATCGCAAACTTGATCCTAAGATATTTGTATTGAGCCGTAATTAAAAGTATCAAGTGCATCGTGTAGAGATCCAGGCTGACCTTTCTGAGCAACGTGTATGCACTGCCAAAAATCTGCAGGACAACGCCACCGATGAAAACACCGATTGGAAACGGTTCGTTTGATATGACTGCCGGCACTTGATAATCCGTATAGTAGAACTCATTTTTTCGAAACACCTTGGTAAACGGCAACGATGCCCAAATCATAAGCGAACCAACGCTAGCGATTATATAGATTCTAAGAGGCTTTTCCAACGGTTTCACCGTACCAATTGTCACATCTCGAAGCGTTTCGTCCTCCACGACTAGAAGGCAATTCAACTTGCCGATTAATTCACGTAACAAATTCTTACGATTGTGCAGATAAACGATCAGGATGAACACTTCTAACGAGATCACAATGTTCACTGTACTATCCTTCAACGCCCTTTCCCTCGACACGTTGAAAAGTCCGAGAATGCAGGCAGCCAAATACGCCAGTTCTATCATCCAAACGAGGATCGTATAGATTTTCAAAACGATAGATAATTTCATTTTTGTATCGGTTATCGGTAAAATATTTCCCGAGGCTATGTTTACGAAAGTGTTCAAACGATTCAAATTTTGAAAATTCATTTTGTACCCTTACTTTTTCCAATTTTTATCGGTATAAAGATAACAGTTTGGATACAAATTTATTAGAATGAAAAAAAAAATTTTTTTTCTTTTTCGACGATGTTAATTTATTATTACTTTTTTCTACGATTATGCAGTTATGTTCTTGCTTGCGAATGATCTATCATTTCAACGTATTCGATACAATTGTTGCTCGTCATTGCATCGTTGATCTGTTTATTCATTTTTACCAGCATTACTATACACAGGCTACGCCATATCACGTGCAATTTAAAATTCTTTCAGCGTATAATCATCGATCGTTGGTCGTTGGTTGCAATTACAACTCGGTATCATTCTCTTTAATTTGAACAATTATTTATCTAAAAAGATCCCTATACGTATATATTCGTACGTATAAATGTACAATTATTGTACAAGAATTGTTTAAAAATCTATCTACTTAGTCACTCTCTTTTGATGTAGAAATTTATCATAAATTTATAAAGAAATTAGTCACGTGAAAAGAAAGAGTCGAAGTTTCTTTCTTTCATTATAATATTGAAAAGATAATTTATATTACTTTTAGAAACATTTCAAAAATCTAAGAGAGAATCACGAAACTTAACATTATTCATAGCTCGGTAAATGGAAAATTGTATAACTCTGAGATGGATTTTAGATGTGCCAATTATATTTTATGAAATTCTGAAATTGTTTTATAGTCGTTTATCATAAAACAATTTTTAAAGTAAGTTTTATATATATATATGCATATATTTTTATGTATATAAATAATATTATTAATTCATTATTTATCCAGTTCATATCAGAAATATTAAAAATTACAGTTTCGTTTGTCGATTATTTTTGCATCTTTAAATTTATTAATTATATTGGAAGTGATTTCATTCTAGAATTATTCTTATTCGTTTTAGAATATATGTATTATAATTAAATAAAAATTCCATAATGTAAGAGACTTAATCATGAATATCATCATATATATATCATTGATTTAATCTTGTTTTGTTTTCAAAAATAATAAACATATCGAATATGCTTGGTTTAGAATCTGAAAGGAAAATAGCACAATTATTAATAATCAAAATTATTAGATTAACTATAGGTATAAAATATTAAAGTAAATCGATTGATCGTATGAAAGAAAAAATATGAACAAATATTAACTAATACACATAAATAGAAGAAAATAATTCGAATAAATCGAACTACTCAACTTTAATTTATTTATAACATAATAAATAAATCTCGTATCATTTTTGCGTATCAATTTCATTTATTTATTTAGTTTCTAAAATCGATTATTCAAAAATATCTTGATATATTAACATCTTACATGTACATATTTATAATTTGTTATTAAATATCTTCATAAATGTATCATGTATAATATTTTTTCTTTCTATTTTTTATTCTATTTTTGTCTATCTTAAAATATAATATTAATTAATTTATTTTTAGTATAATACTTCATAATCATCAAATAAAGACTTACAGACATGAAAGATGGTAATGTTAAATCAATATTTTGAAAATTGGATATTTTACACTTTAATTCGTTAGCCAAGCTTATCATAAGAATTACACGTTGAAATCGTACGTCGTAAGAGTACCATTTTTCATACACCACATCGTCTGCTATGGACGAACTCTAACAATTATATTTTATTATTAAAAAAAAAGGAATAAGTACTTTCTTTGATATTTAATAATGATTTTTACAAGTAATAAATCATACCGCTTCAAATAAATCTTGAATGCAATAACACAATATATAAAATTGTATCAATGCACCGGTTGTATATGATACAATTATCGTATACGTGAGTTTTTCTAAAAGTGAAGTCTGAAAAAATAATATGTTTTTACTGAATGAAATAGAGCGAAAAGAACAGAAAGTGCAATTCTTTTCACTTAATCAAGTAGACCAAAATGCAATTAAAAAATTGAAATTTACGATATACCGTTGCAAACATAAAACTCAGAAAGCAGAACCGAAAAACGTAGTTTAAGTAAAGAACTCCAATATTCGGAGAAAGCAATTTCTTCAACATACCAGTCATCCTATAATAATTATAAATTTATTATTTCAACAATTGAAGTGTTTTTACCTTGTAAATTATCATATAGAAAATATGATTATATATTATGACAACCAAAAAATATGCATCTAGATATAATTTAAAGATAGGTATGATTAATTATCGATACATTGTATAATAATCGTTAATTATAATAATGAAATATAAACATAAATAAATTAACTTCAAACTTGCACGAATGCTTACTCGATTACAGTTTCAAAATGGCGGGTTAACAACTTCATTTCCTGTCTGATCGTTGTATCATCGTCGTACGGGATATTTTGCCAAGTGTCCTTTCCAAAGGTTTCACCCTTTTCCTTAAGCACAGTCGCAAATTTGATTCTAAGATATTTGTATTGTGCCGTTATTAAAAGGTTCAAATGCATCGTGTAAAGGTCTAAGCTGATCTTCCTAAATAACAAATATTCGCCGCCAAACAGCTGAAGGAAAACGCCACAAATAAAAACACCTGTTGAAAAAGGTTGCTCGGATAAAACGACTGGCATTGTAAAATCCTCGTAATAGAACTCGTTCTTTTGAAATAATTTGATCAACGGGGATGATATCCAAACCATAATCGATGTGACGTTAACAAGTATATATATTCTTAAAGGTTTTTCCAACGTTTTTATCGTGCTAATTGTCACGTCTCGAAACATTTCGTCTTCGTTGATCAGAACGTGATTCAACTTCCCGATTAATTCACGCAACAAATTTCTACGACTGTGTAAATATATGTTCAAAATGATCACTTCAAACAAGAGCACCATGTTCACTGTACCATCCTTCAACGATCTTTCCCACGGCACGTTGAAAAGACCGAGAGTACAGGCAGCCAGGTATATCAGTTGTATTATCCAAACGATGACGAAATAGATTTTCGAAACTATGGATGATTTCTCATTTATATTGGTCATCGGTAAAAAGTTTCCCGAAATCATGTTCGCGAAAGCGTTCAAACGATTCAAATTTTGAAAATTCATCTCCCTTCTTTGCTTAATCTTCTTGTAATTTTTATGTGACAGAAAAATAATAATTTTGATGAACGAAAGGAGGAAAATTCTGGAAGAAAAATTTTTATGTATCTTTCTGTTCAAATTTGACTCGTGAAGAAATCTTGAAGTTCGAATTTAAAAATTTATTATACGATAAATTTAGTGGCACTGAAAATGATATAAGAGCACTTTTCTTTTTTAATATCGTATTGTAGCTTACGAATATTGTGTCAATTCGAGACGTTGCTTGTCACTGCATTCTTCATCTGTTTATTCTTTTTTCATTTTTACCAGCATTTTACTATGCACAAACTATATCTCGTTTCGTGCAATTTAAAATTCTTTCAGTATATAATTATCGATCGTTAGTCGTACAATTAAACTTAATATCTTTCTCTTTAATTGTATTTATGTAAAGAAAGAATCTTTATATATATATATATATATACAATAATGTAGAACTTATTGTCAAATTACTTAAAATATAGTCTCATAGTTTCTCCTTTTTTTGATGTAGAAATTGAAAGGGTGAATTTATAAAGAAATTAATCATGCGAAAAGAAAAAGTCGAAGTTTCTTTTCATCTTTGTCATTATATTATTGATTGAAGTGACAGTTTATTTCTTTTAGAAGCACGCAATCAAGAGAACTATAAAATTTGATATTGTTCAACAACAGTCTGGTAAATAAAAAAGACGTGCCAATTATTTTATTTTATAAAGTGTTCCAGTGTTCCAAGTGTTCAACTAATCATTTATCATAGAAACATTCACGAAGTAAGTTATATATATTTTTACATAATATAGTATAGTATTCTTGTTGATATCGTTGATATTAAAATTTTTGCAATTTCTCAAAAAATATTGTATGATAATCAATTTGTATTCTATTTTCACATATTTGAATTGCATTTTCCAAAAGAATCTCTTGTACTAAAAAACAAAATGGAAAATTCATTTTTACCAGCATTTTACTATGCACAAACTATATCTCGTTTCGTGCAATTTAAAATTCTTTCAGTATATAATTATCGATCGTTAGTCGTACAATTAAACTTAATATCTTTCTCTTTAATTGTATTTATGTAAAGAAAGAATCTTTATATATATATATATATATACAATAATGTAGAACTTATTGTCAAATTACTTAAAATATAGTCTCATAGTTTCTCCTTTTTTTGATGTAGAAATTGAAAGGGTGAATTTATAAAGAAATTAATCATGCGAAAAGAAAAAGTCGAAGTTTCTTTTCATCTTTGTCATTATATTATTGATTGAAGTGACAGTTTATTTCTTTTAGAAGCACGCAATCAAGAGAACTATAAAATTTGATATTGTTCAACAACAGTCTGGTAAATAAAAAAGACGTGCCAATTATTTTATTTTATAAAGTGTTCCAGTGTTCCAAGTGTTCAACTAATCATTTATCATAGAAACATTCACGAAGTAAGTTATATATATTTTTACATAATATAGTATAGTATTCTTGTTGATATCGTTGATATTAAAATTTTTGCAATTTCTCAAAAAATATTGTATGATAATCAATTTGTATTCTATTTTCACATATTTGAATTGCATTTTCCAAAAGAATCTCTTGTACTAAAAAACAAAATGGAAAATTAAAGATGGTCTTTTTTAAAATTGATAATTTATAGAAAGAAATATTCCCTTCCTTTCCAACGACTTCTTAACAATTATCATATTTTTGTTTATTGTCGATTTTGTTTTAAACATTTTATACATTATATTACACATACATATAGATACATACTTACAACACAACACTCATCATATTATGTATCATACAATGAATCATTTATATATATATATGTTGAGTTAGATATTGCTTAATTTTCGTACATGTATTATTTAAACATTTATAAATACATTTACTTATACATAGTATATATACAAATAATATACAATAATATAATGTATATACAAACGAATACATACAATTTCTTTTACAAATAATAATTTAATATGCTATAAAAATATATTATTATTTTTCATGATGTGAGAAATATTTTTCAAGTAGTTAATGGTATATGTATGCAGTAATAACATTCATTGAATTTTGTCACTTATAGAGATTGATTAAAATTTTTTTTTAAATTTTAATCGTACAATAAAAATTTGCTGATCAAAAGACTAAGGTATAGATTAAGTAAATTGCAGGAAACAATACCTGCGGTAGAATATCCAAGCAGATGGTGATAAATTGTCCTTTCTCCAATTGCTTGAGTCGGCCTGTAATTGAAACTCAAAGTGCCATTGCTTGTCTCTACACTTTTAAAAACGTTTAGCTGCAAATGAAAAAAAAAAAAAAGTATAATAGAATAGAATAATGATTTTGATTATCATACAGATTTTTTTTACATTCAAATTATACAGATAAAAATAATAAATCTAGTTAGATATGTTTGTATATATTTTCTTATAATAAATTATTATATATCAATTTACTTCTTTTGTTTTTTAAATAAGAACTAACTATTTTGGATGTAATAAATTTCAGAACGCTTCTTTTTTCTTGAATTAAACGGCATAGAAGTTTTCGTTCTCTTATTATTCTCGTAAATATTCTGATAAATATACAGAGAAACGGAAGAAGTGAGAACAGAGATCGAGTCGAGACTTGGCTTTTACATTCGTGAAAGAAATTCAATAAGTAATCGAAATTCTCAATTCTTCTTGAAACATCGATTTTGCCAACAATTAGAATTTTAAACCTCTTTTGACTTCTGGAATTCTTAAAATATTCTTATGATTCGTGTGAACCGAACGAAAATAATTTAAAAATTGCGGAATATTCGATTTTTATAATATCTTTCTAAAAAAATTTCTAGAAAAAATTTACATTAGATTCTAATTACAGGGAAGAGGGAAGGAGAGAATTATTTTAATATTTATTAACTCGTTGCTTATTAAATATTCATTAATATGCCAAGTGTCAAATATATACATATGCAACGTTGATTGAATTAAATTTATTACGTAAATTTACCTGTTGTTCCGATACCGACAATTTTTCAGTAAGGATATACCACATCACGGTCTCTTGGCATCCAGGAGTAGTTAAAGATCCATCATAATGATAATACGTTGTATGATCTTTCGGTAAAAAGAGAGACGGGATAAACTTGCTTTCATTCAACTCTGCACTCTTCCCGATTCCGTTAGATATTAATTCCGTTGCTTTCAGAATTGGCATTATTTCCATATTGTCTTCGCTATCCAACTGAAATGGCATTTCTATATTGCGTAAAATCAACTCTTATTTATGAAATATATAAGTTATATTAACAATGAATAATAATAACGAAAAAAGTCGTAATAAATATTTAATAATAAACATAATAACCTCGAATAATGTGGCGACAACAGCTATGCCATTCTCGTGCTTCGATGCAGCGCTTGTATTGCCATATTGTTCTTTGTAATGCACGAAATGTAACTCCAATGCATCACGATTGTTGTCCACAGTGTGCTCGGCAGGCCAATGAAAATGTATTTGCTCAAGAATATAAGTGGATTCAAGATTTGCCCCTTCGAGATGTACCGGTACACCAGATAATTGAAGTTGTACTGTAAAAACTTATATTTTAGCAGGTATTTAAAAATAATAATAATAATAATAAAGTTAAAATTTTCTTTCTAAATAACGAAAGAAATTTTTTCATGAAAGAAGATGTTATTTGAAAGTGTGCCAATTTTATAATTAGATAATTAGGTTCAACAAATAATTTTACTATCAGCTTCTATCTAGGATAATAATATTCTTTAACGATTTGAAAAATCGTTTGGTTTGATTAATGAAAAAGAAAGGAATTAGTTATAAATATATGTTTTGCACATTTTAAATTTTGATTTTACGATGAAATTAACATCATCGTTAAAAGTTTTTTTTTTTTTCTGCTTCTATTATACTTACCAGAATGACCGTTGTTCGTGATTTTGCATTCAAACGCAAAATCATATCTTATGAATTTAAGTTCACCAATATCGGTATTAATGGTATCTTCAGTGACGATGTTATTGGTGATTGTTTCTTTCCAGTCACGCATAGACCTGGCCAATATGTCGGACCTAAACGAAGAAAAATGGAAAAGGATTATGCTTCTTACGAAATAAGAAAATTTAAGCGATTATTCCAACAGATTAAAATAAAAAGAAATAGAGATAGAAACTTTAGTCTAATTAACTAATTAATAAAAATTAAATTACACATTTATTAACTCAAAATATAATAAACTTCAATATACATTTCTACGTATTAACTTTTGTTTTTAGTCTTTAGAATTTTGTTTCGATGATATCTAGATAAAATTTTTAAGTAAAGTTAAAAATAATTACCATGCTCTCCCGAATACGACCAGTCAGACGCTCTCGCCGCGCATAAAACTGAAACAAAACAAACGTATCAGTTAAAAAAGTTGAAAATTTAAATCAAATAATATCTATTTATTTGAATTGGATAACTATTTAAAAAACAATTTCGCTATTATAAAAATTGAAATTTATCCCTAACTTTGTTGATCGTTTGTATCACTTGAAATTATAATAAGTTAATTGTCAATAGTGTTGATAATAACGTATGTAAGATACATGAACTTAAACTCAATATCTTGAAACTTTTAAATAGGAATATCGAGCGAAACACCAAGAAATTCGCTCTCACAATAAACTCTGTACGAGGTTCCGTAAAACGTCATGTTATGATTATCAATTTTTATTAATTATTATTTTCATTTTATCCTTTAATGATAATATTAATGAACAAAAGAGAAACGAAACTATATAGATTTGAAATTGAACAGAGTCCTAGATAGAATTGGTCGTATATGTTAAACCTGTTAAACCGGTTTTCGATAAAATGGATAACAACTTTATACTAAATTACAATCAAGTTCAAGAACTCTTAAAAAATATCTTGCATACTAGAAAACACATACGTTATATGTACTATCGTGGTTAAAAAGAACATTTTTATTGTAAAAAATAGTGTCAAATCAATATGACTGTGAAAACTTGTCCCGCTTAAAAGAAATATAGATATTTATATCAGACTACATGGACTTTCAAGATAAACAAAAAAAGAAAATATAAAAATTAACGTACTCAAGAATCTCAATTGGGGTTTATTTTTCAAGCTCTGAGCAATTGAATTCTTTATTAAAAATGCCTGTTGGCAAACTATACGACAGGCCAGACTCTTCAACAAATTATCAACAACAAATACCATATTATTTTAAACGCATGATTGATCATGCTTGAATTTGAATGCAATGTAATATACGCATATGTATTTTTACTATTAATATTTAAGAATGAAATCCATGTAATTTG